TGTGACTGTTTCACCCGGTTCCAGCAGCTCATAATACACGATACCCTTTTGATCCCACCAAACACAGAGCGTTACCTTCCGGCAATATCTTGCTTTGATTGCGATGGTCCTGGTTCGCCGCGTCGAACGTATGATTTTTTTCGCTTTGGGTTATCGTAGTGGATCCACTTTTCATCGCCCGTAACAATTCGATCCAAAAATGACTTGCTTTTTTGTCTTGCGAGCAGCATTTCACAGATGATAAAACGCCTTTCAACATCTCTCGGTTTCAATTCGTGCGGTAACTAGTTTCCAAGTTTTTGGATGAACCCTAATGCTTTTAAACATTGTGAAATGGTTGCTAGAGTAACTCCCAATGATTTAGCGAGTTCTTCTTGCCTTTGGCATGGATCTTCATCGAGTAACAATTCCAATTCTTCATCTTCATATTTTTTCGGCTGGCCTGGACGCTATTTGTCTTCCGTCTCAAAATCACCACTTCTGAATCTTCTAAACCATTTTTCACATACACTTATTGAAATTGAATATTTGGGATACGTTTCCGACAACAAACGATGACATTCAGCAGCACTTTTCTTTTGATTAAAGTACAAAAGCATTGCTTCCCGCAAATGCTGTTTTGTTGGAACGTAATTCGACATTTTAATCGCAATAATGTTTTCACTTTGACAGATCGAATTTAGTAGATTTTTTGACGCTCTTTAAGATACAACAGCTTTCACTGTCCATACAATTGCATGTGTGATAGATATGAAGTTAGATACGAATCCTTACGTTTTAACTTCCAATAATATTTTCATTTCAATTTATTTAATTCTTATTTGCGATCATGCATGCGATGCAAATATGTCGTTTGAGAGTTAAAGGGCATTGAAACTTGTCCCAAAAGGTGGATGAGAAAAATATCAATTCTAAGGTATTTTTGCATGCTGATTCCGAATTTCGGGGTGTCAGGTCAAAAAAATTACACCTTGGGTGTTTTTGATCCCCGACCCCCTTAAGGGGTGGGAGGACTTGAAGGGCTGGGTTCCTAAAGAATTTCTCTCGTCATTCTGTACAACTTTGTAGTACATTATTTTTTGATCGGATGAAGTTTTGCAAAATTGTTTTTGACTAATTGGGCCAACTCAACTTGAAATTATTTAGTGGCACGATTAGATTGCTTTCTTTAAGACCGTAACAACAATATGTATATGCCCTGGATATGTCAAGTCTTCCACTATAGTTTACGTATGGGCAAATGGCCATTTTTGGCTACATTTGTATTGAAGGCCATGTCTTGAAACTAATAAGCATGTTTTGATAATAATCGTATGGTGAATTTAGACTATGTTTTATAAAGGGAGACATTTTATTCAAGTTACGCCATTTGGCGTTACCCTATCGATATTAATTCACACTCCCAATATATGCAACATGTCGTGTCACGTTGCATATACAACGTTATATGCAATGTGACACGACATATTGCACGTCTTATGTGCAACACGCAACGCGTTGCCTATGCAACATCGCGGCATGCAACTTTTATATTACAAATACACTGAGCGTTGCATATGCAACATCGCGGCATGCAACGCGTTGCATGCAACCCAGGACATACATACAAACTTTCGATTTTATATATATAGATATGATCGTAAAGCAAACAGAAAATTTGTGATTAAAGATTAAAATAGAAAAATAATTCAAATAAAATCAAATAAAAAATTAGTTAAAATTAAATGTAAAAGATTAAATTTTATACAAACAAGACCGCGTCGCTATGCCTGATTTTTTTGTGCTTCTGAGTTAATGAAGTTAATTAAAAAATATTCATTAATATTAAAATCTAATAATAAGTGAAAATGAATTAAATAGAATAAAAACAAAAATATTGAGCCGATTATCTTGGGAACTTCGAATCGATCGGTCAAAACCGTTGGCACCATTGGATTCCTCGGGTCCGAATTATGTAAGATCGGTGGAAAAACCAAACAATCAGCGCAAAAAACTTGCTCAGAAAAGTTGATTAAAAAAATGAAAAAAAAAATTCGGTCGCTCCACTAAAATTTTTGACACACCCACATAAATTTGGAATCTGAAAATGTGCATACCGGACCAAAATTGAATGCTCTTTCGGTTTCTGGCATAAAAAAGATAGGTTTATCACATGTTTTTTCGAGATAAATTACGATTTTCCTCGATTTTCGATGATATTTTTCACTTTTGGTCAACCCACTTTGACCGTCTCCACTGAAACTTTTTTTGAATTTTTTTCGTGATATTCTCAAGAGGGCCGAGAGACCTTTCGGACAAGACAATGATGAAAAATTGCTTTTGAAAAGTGGTGACCGTCCGTGAAAATCAACCAGCAAAGAGAAAATCTTGACCCTAAGGGGCCGAGGACTGTAACCCCACTAAAACAGCCGATTTGGGAAAAGTGCTCATAAACTTTTTTACTCCTCTTGAGCTGATGAATCTGTGGTAGAGAGATTAGCATGGAATTGTGAAACATCCTGTATATTGGTACCGCTTTACAGCGGTAAAGGTGTATGAGATCACACTAGCCGCTGATTAATTGAATTATAATATTTATTTTATTACATAATTCGTCACTATACACCCTCCAATCCAAAAGTTCCGAGACTTTTTAAAAATAATAGATACCAGTGGCGCCACCTACTGGATATTATATGCGTTAGAAAGGTACTTGCCCCACTGACATTATGTCCAAGTTTCATGAGGATCGGATGTAAACATGTCAAGATATTGCGTCTTATTTTTTGGTATCTTTTGCTCTCGGTGACAAAATGAATTTCAAACAGAAAATAATCAAATTTTGTGATAAATTTCGAAAGTTTTAACGAATTAGATATTTCAAAAACCATGTTATTATGATTGCTCATGCTGTCTATAAGCTGGAAAAACTAAGACACGAGATCCTATATCGGCACATGCTTCGCATATCGACATCTTTGAAAAAAGTCAAATTTTCAGGATATTCTCATTTCGTGGACCAATTTTCTGTGAATTTCGTGGAACCCATCATCGAATCTTTTGCTCTGATGAGCTTAATATTAACTGAGGACCTATATATTGAATAATCCATAACGATTATTGCAGATTGTCAGATGTATAGAGTCTCTAGAACATGAAATAGACAGTAAGTCACTTTAGACGATATAACTATTCTGTGTTCAATTTTCGGCCTTGAACCGAGCCTTAAATATACTAAAATATCTGACTTGGCTGTCAGTGATCCGATCCTCATGAAACTTGGACATAATGTCAGTGAGGCAAGTACCTTTATAACGTATATAATATCCAGTAGGTGGCGCGACTGGTATCTATTATTTTTAAAAAGTCTCGGAACTTTTGGATTGGAGGGTGTATTAATTTTTTTTTATCTTTTTTGTATTTCTAAATAGAAACACCAAACTTTAATTTGGAACGGGCTTATGTGACCGTTGATTGTAGTTTATTGTTTTCAAATCAATACTCGTTGCCGATGTTTCGACTCACTGAGAGTCATAAGCATGGCTGTACATTGAAAAACGCAAATGAAAGATCTGGTTAGAAATGAAATAACAAACAATGTTTCACAGAACAACAGTACAAATAATGAATCGATTTTCAACGATAAAATAGTAAATGACAAAAGATATTACTGATACTTCAAAGGAGATCAATATGTCTTAATTTTTAGAATGCAATAAATGCGGCATAGAATTAATTATTAACATAAATGCGGCATAGAATTAATAACAAGTAAATCTTATGAATAAAGTATGACACCGGCAAATGGTTGTACGTGCGTCTGCAGTTCAGTTTTGGGAAAAAAAATGTAGCAAGTGATTCTAATGCGATGCAAAATAAGAAACGTAAGAACGGCGAACTTTTTATTTCTAACTGTCATGTGTTTGTGTGATTGTAGCAATGTACCATACACAGCTGAAATCTTTTCTCTGTCTTCGCGTATATTGGTCACTAAAAGATGACACCATTTATTTGGATCTACGTATTCGATTTGAAAAATTTCATTGTTTTTCGACTTTTAGTGTAAAAATCGAAATATTGGGATTTTTGTAAAACACGTTTTGTCACAAATTCAAATGTTGACAGTTTTGAGAGTCACTAATTAGTCACTAAAATTATGTCGAAGAATTTTAATAATTTTGCCCATTTTTATGAAAAGCCTTTTCAAATTTTCGTGCATTTTTCAATTTTTCGTGCATTTTTCAATTTTTTGTTCATAATATGTCCACCAGATGTCGTATCGAAAATCTAAAGTCATATTTGTGAGTCACAAATTAATCACTAAAATTCTGCATCATTATATTTTTATTCTTTGCTTTTATTTAAAACTTGCTAAGATACTTTTTGGCCAATAGGCCTAAATGGAAAAATGGCCAAAAGTGGCAAAGGTGGCCGAAATAATGGTGTCACAAATCATCACAAATTAGTCACTAAATCCCTAAAAAGGTTTCAAGGCAATCGCAAAAATTTGCCAGGTTGGATAGGGGAGGCCCATGAATAGGTGCATATTTTATATTTTTGAGTAGGAACAGAGGCCGACAACACGAAAGCCGGTTTGGTGATGTTTGATGAAAATAAATGGTTTAATTTAAGTTTGAATTTCTGAAATAAAAAAAATGTTCACTGTCTTCAAAACAATAATTTATTATTTAAGCAAGGCGAAAGACAATTTTTGGTGCAGTCATTATTAGTATTAAAATAAACTACCAAGGCGAATGAACAGTGTAAGGTGCAGTTATTATTAACAAATTCCTGTTAGGCTTATACACAAATACAATGATGCTGTATATGCGTGCCATATTGACCAATATTCTATTAAATAAAGCATTTTTTTATATTCAAGACATTTTTCTCCCAGAATCGCGATCCCAACTATCAAATCTCAAATTCAAGTATTGTTGTTACAAATGTGTGGTATTTGATCTTAAATATAAATTCACTTTCTTTTGCAATTTAATTTTCATTATTATTAATATGTTTCCGTTGTTTTCATTACTTATTGATTATTTCCATTCTATTCTATATAATTCACCTCAGGTAATGATCCAGAAGTACACTACAAATTACGTATTCAAACTCCATCAATGGAAAGTCCTTTTGAAATTGGATTCAAATGTCATGAACTTGCGAATGAGTGGGAGTAAGTACCCGACAGGAGCAATCAATTACCAGTACTGAAGGATTTATATCCATGCAATTATTTAATACATGAAATACATTCTCAACATAAATACTATCCAAAAATCATAAGAAGAAGAGAAGACGATTTTTAAAACCGAATAAATCTTAAATAAAAAAAATTGCAAATGAACTAAAATCGCGATAGCAAACAGTTTTGGTTTTCCACTACTCAAATCGGAATCTGTGAATATTTGGGAAAAATGGAGTCTACGAGTATTTCTACTTCAAAGACTATAAATATAGGTCAGGAAAAAATAACCCGGGAATGACTGACAAATATACAAATTTATTACTAGCTTTCTCATTTTTTCCTTTTCACGGTCATCACTTTTAACTATTTACGATCAAATACAAAAAAATTACGAAAACGTAATTAGTCATTAACAAAATATGTGTGAAAAAGTACACATATTGTGTAAGTGATGAAAATCATTTCATTTGTATTATGTTCCGTATTTTTTGTCATATATTTGTATTACATTTTGACTTTTCTCCATTATTTAAAATTTTCTTTTATTTTTCACCTCCAGGCAAGCTATAAGAGAAGCTGCACAGTTAGCAAGTCAACTTGAATCACAACGTCGTAAAAAAGAAAGAAATGCACGAGTAGCGAAAGAAATGTCTGATTTAATTATTTATTTCAGAAGTGTTCCATTTAAACATAATGAAAAAAATGTGTATTATGAAATGTCTAGTTTCCCTGAAACGAAAGCCGAAAAATATTTTATTCAAAACTATTCTCAAGCATGTCTCAAATATCATCGCAATCAAATAAGCCGTGTTTATCCCAAAGGACAACGACTGGATTCCTCTAATTTTAATCCCATTCCATTTTGGAATGTTGGATCTCAGATGATTGCACTCAATTATCAAACACCAGACAAACCAATGCAATTAAATCAAGCAAAGTTTCGAGACAATGGTGCCTGTGGTTATATACTGAAGCCGCAATTCATGCTTAGTGATAATTTCGATCCAAATAATACGAGTACTATTCCAATATTCCAATATATTACAATTCGAGTTATTGGCGCCCGACATCTTTGTAAATCTGGAAGAAATGTGAACAGTCCACTAGTCGAAATTGAAATACTGGGTGCCAATTTTGATGCTGGAATCAAACATCGAACAAAAGCAGTGGGTATGTTATATGTAATTGGAAAGCTCAGAAAATCTCAAGAGATTGGAATATAGTATAAGTATAAAATCTTCTTTCGAAGTTCTCACTGTGACGCAATACTGTAAATCTGAAAATGTTCTGATATAAATTTTCAGTGACGCGTTCGTTCATATATATACAAAATGTTAATATTGCGTCGCCTCAAAAATAAAACAAACAAACAAAAGACGTGTTAAATGTCATAAAAAACCATAGGTAAAAATGATTTTTATTGATTTCTATTATTTTCGTGTTGTTTACACACTGCAGACATGTCATCTTTCTTGCGGGGAAAGAGGCGACGCAATATTAACATTTTGTATGTATATGAACGAACGCGTCACAGAAAATTTATATCAGCACATTTTCAGATTTAAAGTATTGCATCACAGTGAGAACTTCGAAAGAAGTGTTTTATACTAATTCAATCGTTTTTTAGTATGTTGATGACAAAATCCTAACGTCAAGTGTGTCGAGACTTGATATTGTAATAATAACAACTGCACCGAACAGCGTTCCTTCGCCTTGGTGGTTTATTGAAAATAATATAATTAAATAAAACACCTCTATCGAGGTGAAGAACGAGTGACGAAACCAAAATTTGAAACACAAAATTTT